GAGTAGGCTGGCCTGCATCCCCCCTGCCACCCAACCCGTGTGTGGCAGTCTCTCCCTCCCTCTGCCATTGTAGACCTATGTTTGACAGCTCTTAGCCACTGCTGGGAGACCCATCTGTTTATTGGCTGGCCTGCCCTGAACCAGGGCCTGGACTATTGTGGCCGATCCATAGTGCAGGTTCAGCATAGTTAACTGTTGGTTCAGACCGATCATAGGTCTGAGCCCCTGGAATTAGCAGCTGTGGGTGTGGATTGACCACGAACTGGAGCCCCAAACTCATGGTACAACTGATTCCCCAAGACAGAATGAGCTGGGGTGCAGTGGAATGGTGTGGCCACCCACTGCCCTAGAGGGGCAAGAGCCCCTCCCAGAGCCCTCATGAGCTACATCATAATTCAGCAGTCCAATGTAATTTCTACATCCCACGTGCAGCTTATTTGGGTCTTTACCTCAAGTAATTTGTCTCAGGAATTGGGGGCTTGTTCTGATTAGGATGGGGGAAGATTCCTTCCATCCTTTACGAGCTTCCAGGAAAGGAAAGCAGCCATTGTTGTATTTGGTTGGTTCTCCTCATCCAGAAACTGGCATCTCTGATAGAGCAATGCCCAGAGACATTGGTTCTAACTCAGATGGAAGAGTGCCACCTTCAGCATCACCTCAGCTTTCGGGGTTTGTGATAACTGGGCCTACAGACTTACCTTAATTGTGAGCTCAATTGCTGTACGTTTTGTAACCTATAAAATGTTACAAACCCTCTATTATGAAATGCTAATGGGGAAAAGGGGGGCAAAAGGGAGATTGAATTAGGCTAAATAAAAAGGCCTGCTGATGCAAGTCCAGGATTGTTTTAATCATGGCAGATAATCAGATCAAAAATCATGAAATCAACACTGGGAATTAAGGCTGGTTGGACAAAATAAGAGATGAGCTAGTCAACTTCTGCTCCTTTTTGGGGTCTTCAAAAAGAGAGCTGGGGAGGTGGGGTAGGAAGGAGGGATGC